GTAACTCGCAATATACTAGAGTGTGCGCGAAATTACATTACTCTGTACTCGACAGCCAACCAGAGTAAATATTAAACTAAAAAAACTCAGGGTTCCATATCATTAAATTTATAAAAGCGTTCATGACTTTTTTATGGATGACAATGGAATGGTAACCCCGCTTGCGCTAACGGTATACGCTGGCGGGGCACCAGTGATAGATGATATGTTTACTGACCTAACTGACTTTAGCTTACCGGAGCTTACATGACATGAATACCATATTTTTAGCAATAAAATTCATTCATCCATTTATTCATTCATTCAATCAACAATTAATATCGATGACAACACCGATCTGGACCATCTGATTTTAAAATGTCAGCGGTTTGGAATTGACAGATTAATTATGGCAACCGAATTTGAAGCTATAAGCAAAAAAGTGCTTCAGGATTTAAAAGAACTATTGAATGATTGCAAATACTTCAGACGTTTGTATAAATTTGTTGTAAATAAAGTGGCAAAGTTGTAGTGTGAAGCGATGTGTATTTCTGTAATTTGTGGCGAAGTGACTGCATTTAAAAATATGACATCTTTGCTCATAAGGACAAGTTTCCAGAGCCGTAAAACATCTTATTAAAAAAAAGACGACTTAGTGAGATAGGATAAGTGTGCAAATATTCTTGGGTACTCAGTTTTAAAAACTAATATCATTTCGCTTGTTATTCCTAAAATTTACAGATTAGAAGTACCCGTAACCGGCGTGCGTGTATGAAAAGATTGATAAATATGGAAGAAGCGAAAGAGGTTTGTTTGAATCGAAGCATTTGGCATTACATTGTTTCTGCCTACCCTAATGGGAGACAGGCGTGACAGATATGTATGTATGTATGTACAGATTAGAAAATATGAAATTTAAAAGTGAAAATTTAAGTGATATAAAAGTGAAGTGAATTGGAGAAAAAGTGGGAAATCATTACAGAATAACTCCTATTTCCACATCTCATTCATATAAAATGAGCAGTTTTGACAATTTAGTGGTATTAATGAATACATAAACATTGCTCGGATGAATAATTCATCACAAAATTCAAAGCATTCGGACTGAAAATGAAACATTAACTCAATATTATCGTAACAAATTTTCATACTTGAATATCATCTACATAATAAATTGTGTTGCTAAAGGCGCAGATCAGGCTCACATTCTTCATTGGATATTGAATTATATTGTAATGCAATAGAGGACTTTTTAGAGTGGTCTGTAAGCTATTTAGGTTATAATAGACTTGTGCGAAAGCCTCTACTGAATCGGGCCGACCAATTATAGTGAACTTAATGAAACCAATAAATTTTGAAGCTTCTTCAGAATAATCTTCCTGCTTCGAATTAATGCTATAAAATATATTATTTTTTATGGAATAAAAATGAAAAAAAACTTTGCCTGCGCTATTTTTATACGCTGACAGCACCAGAGAGGAAAAAACGATTAAGATGAAGTGAGTCAGTTAACTAGAGGAAGACCTCGTGGAGGTCGACCTGACTATACTTTATATTGCTAGCTATAAGCCCGCTAGAATATATTACTGACAACCCCCATAAGAGGAAGGATGAAAGAAGAATTACGAAAGAGATGTATCGAACAATAACAAATAGAGATGTCGGTAGGGGCCGCCCTAGACGGACGTATGTCGACCTAATAGGCGACGTGCTGAAGAAGGCCCCAATTAAAAGTACCCGTAACCGGCGAGCGTGTGTGAAAAGATTGATGAGTGTGGAAGAAGCGAAAGAGGTATGTTTGAATCAAAGCATTTGGCGTTCCATTGTTCTACCTACCCTATTAGGAGATAAGCGTGATGGATAATGTATGTATGTATTATACCCTATAAGAGATTAATATTTTTTTTTATGGGTTTAAATGGTATGGTAACCTCGCCTGCGCTAACGATATACACTGACGGAGCACCAGTGAAGGGTGATAAATGAGAATGAAAACAGGCCAGTTAGCCCATCATGATGAATTCATTAGGAATTATCCATGATAGTTTCCAGGGGGAACCGCGAGGAGGTCGACCTGGTTGGGTACATTGCTAGCGATGGGATTTTCAGTCTCCATTACTAACAATCCCTTTCCCCCCTAAGAGATTAATATTAGGTAGTTACGAAATGGACTTTTTTTACTAAAGAAGAATAGATTTTCTCTCCGTCAGTAAAAACTTATAAATAGAACCCAAAACCTCATTCCCGTAAAAAAACGCGCACATTATGTATGACACATGTATGTATTTTTAAAAAAAAAAAATAGAAACATCTATAAGATAAATATTTATAGAAAGTAATTTTATCCATGTTATCTCCAATTCCCCATGGGTATTTTCAATAAACCTCTGTCAGATTATAAAACCTACGTAAAAACATTTCATATGATGACACGTATTGTCTGAGACCCCGCTGCTGAATTCTGCACGTATCACCAGAGGGAGACTTTGTACAAAAGTCGTTTGCTAAATACATTATACATCTTTTTTATGCAACTTAGAATGGCAAACAAGCTGACGGCCCACCTGATAAAAAGTGGCAATCGTTGCCTATAGACATGAGCAGTACCATGGACATAACAGAGTATACTGTTTCACCCATGATACCCCCCATGCGGTTCCATTCCTGAGGACTCAGGTGTTATTCTTCAGTACCCTGTAAATTCACAACTGCTTCACGGTAGAAACACGAATGGGACAGAGGTACCCAAGCAATCGACTTTTGTATAAAGTCTTCCTCTGGTATTTAGAAAATATATAAATATTTATACATATTTTGATTAATAGACTTATTTAACAGCAGAGCCTAAATTGCTGGGATTGGGAACATCAAAATTTTTAATACAAGTCATTTGTATGATGCGGCCATTCATTAAAAATGTATTTTACAAAATTTTCACGGAGACGGGAGATAAATGAATCCGCTAATGATACTATAATAAAAGAAAGATGTATACGCTATATTTTTAACCGACTTTAAAAAAAGAAAGTTCTCAATACGGTTTTTTTTTGTTATTTATAAAACGATAACAAAATTTCTTTTTTTATCCAAAAGAGATTTTGATTTATTATACTTACCATTAACTGTCCACTGCTAAAAATAAGGCTTTCCCATAAGGGGAGTATTGCCAGTAGTTGCCACGTTTGGCAAGCGGGTTGGTAACCGCAGGTAAGCTTTTAGAGATATTTTTTTTTTACACAACTTAGAATGGCAAACAATTCGTTTCGCCCATGATACCCCCCATGTGTTGCCATTCCTGAGGACTCAGGTGTTATTCCTCTGTACCCAGTAAATACCATACCATAAAGTTCAAGTGTTAGTGGAGAGATTCCGTGGAGGGCAAAACAATTGAGCGACGTGGCAAGGCGTGTTTTATAATTTTTATTTTTTGACATAATGTATTCGTTAACTTATTAACTTTCTTTTTTCTTTTTTGCCTTACTAGCTGACTCGATGACCCGAATAGCAGAATAAGTATTAAAAAAACTTAAAAAATTAAAGAATCGACTGTTAGGCGGTACGAAGTTCGCGGGGTCAGCTAGTACATAATAAAACTGAGGGCCTACCATGAAATGTTTTCCGAAATTTCGGAGCCAAACGAAACACAAATTTGATGTTAAAATTACATAACACATGCCGTTTAGAAATATTAAAAATGTTAAAATATCGTTCATTTGGACTTTTATGATAGGATGTATGACGAACGAAATGTTAAACTCTATTTATTGGTCCGATTTTGGTATAAACAAAAACACGAAATTGAGTCCGAAATTTCGGAATTTCATTTCATGGCAGACCCGCTGGTCTCTAGTAATAATCCTTTTTTCATGATGACTGATGATGAAAAATTATCTTTTTTTATAAATACTAACAATGGAGCAAACAAGCTGACGGCCCGCTTGATGGGGCATAGTAACCGTCGTCAATAGAGGCGACACGGCGACCGTGACATGACATGAACAAACAACACACGTAAATTGTCCGCGAGCGTAGTTGAGAAACTGTGTAAAATCACCACCGAGCCAACAAAAGATCTCTTCACTCAACAAATAAAAGAAAAATATTTCAGTCATATAAGAAACGTGCGTTAGAAGAAATTATTATTCAAAAACAACAATTATATAACAATGACTGAGAATAACTTAAAATGTATGTATGTACACACAAGGCGCAACTGGAAATATCTACAATTTAAATCAACAACAACTTCAATGTCAGACGCATTCGTTTACATTACAATTGTCACTTAAAAATTGTTATGCACTAGTTATTGCCGTTCGAGATGTTAAAAACAAATATTCAGTCAAGTGTGAATTGGTCTCTCGCACTGAGAGTTCCATACATACATGTGCAAGTACATTTTGCTTCGTAAAAAAGAACGCACATACACGCACGCGCGCACGCACACACACACACATGCACACACACACACACACACACACAGAGAGAGAGAGAGAGAGAGAGAAAGATACGCACATGCACGCACACACACACGCACGCACACGCGCACACACGCGCACGCACATACGCACGCGCACGCGCGCGCTTACTGTCTCGAATCTGGCTATTCTGGGTTGTGCCCCTAGATTTTCGTTTAAGGAACGGGCGACTTGTAAATATTGTGGTAATTATTATTATTATCATGATGATGATTAGTCCTGAGCTTTTTGCGGACACGAAGACCGCTTTGACTCCGCTATTATTGATTATTTGTCAGCTCAGGAAGCTGTTGTTGACATTGATGTGCTCGGATGTGGTTTACATAAACAATCTTTTTAGTAAAGGTCCTTGCATATAGCGGACATACAAGTACACCATCGCTGTTGCAATTATAAGGCACTGCTGCTAGTGGTCGAGCTTTTATTTCATCACTCTTCACCTCCAGTTGAAAAAGACGTGAAATTTCAAAATTTTTTATCATACTATTTGATCAAAACACCATAGACGAGACCATCTAATAATAATTGATTCTCTTCTTACAGGTAGTTCACGTGAAGGCCAGTTAGGTGAGATAGTGAAAATGTGACAAGAACCATCAACTGCTTCTGTCCACAGCATGTGTACAGTGGATTCAACGAGAAATTTAAAACCCAAGTGTTAGTCAATAAAACAGTCGTGACAAATGAATTTTATATTAATGCATTATATACATTAATCATTAACAATGATAACGTGATATATAAAAATCATTACAATTAAATCGAAGTGTTCATTAGAGTGCAGAAAAATGACGATGCGGTGTTAATCGTTCAAATCATGTGTATGGAACTGAAGTGACGTAATAAAGGAAATAATGAAAGTATAGTGGGAAAAATGGGTTGCAAATTAGGAAAGCTCGCGGCCTCTGAGCGCCAGAGATGTGGCAACGCTGGTCCGAGCCTGGCGGATGGACCGCCTCCGGCCACCGACCCACGACTCCCGTTGACTGCCAAGCAGAAATACTCCATGTTGGCCTCGTGGAAAGGAATCTCAAGGGCGATGGAGAAGACTGGCATTTGTATGTTTATAAAGTGAGTATTACGTATTTATATATACATATACAATTTACTTTTTACATATATAGAAATATTATATTACAAAGAACTATGTTCTGTTAATAAGTAGTTGTGTCTTTAATCGTGAAAGCATGGACAGCGGACGAAAGAAAAAAAAAAGAAAGAGTGAATCTATTCATTGAATCATGCGACTCACACAGTGACAAGTAAAAAAGTAAAGTAAACAAAAGTAAGTGTAATAATATTATGTCGCCATTAAGGGATTTTGGCAGTAGTTGCCACGCTTGGCAGGCGGGTTGGCAACCACAGTTAGGTCTTTTGAGATATTTTAAGAGGATCCCTGGACTATAAACTCCTTTAATCGCCTGTTACGACACCCAGGGGAAAGGAAGGGGTGGTCCATTCTATGGCAAAATAAGATTAGGTATAAGCCAAAACAAAAACAAACAAACTAAGAGAATAAAATATAAAAAGCACCTACAGTTTCCTGCTCAAATGAAGCCAAAATTTTAAAGACATACAATCAGTATAGTACAGTATAGTACACTTAAATAGACGAACGGACCAACACATAAACAACGAGCTTACCCACAAGTTTGGGGGAAAAAGGATTGTTAGTAGTGCGAACTACCAGTCCCATTGCTGGCAATATATTCTGTCAGGTCGACCTCTACGTGCTCCCCCCTAGATACCATAGTGCCGAATTACAGGTGTATTCATCACGATGGGCTAACTGTCCTGCCTTTTCATTCTGACCTATCATTCTGTACCGTCAGTGTATACCGTTAGCGCGGGCGGGGTTGCCATTCCATTATCATCCATTAAAAAAGCCCACAAGTTTATCCTCTTCTAGTCTATGATAAAAAAGTGTGAGCCGAACTCACGCACCGGGGATTCCGTAAAATATATAAATGATAAAAAAAATTTGCACTAATTTTAATGTAACAAATTTTCGTACTTTTCTCTTCATTTATGCTGCACGACATTGTATTTTGTCAAATTTAATGAACTTTCAGAGGGAAACTTTGTACAAAAGTCGATTGCTTGGGTACCTCTGTCCCATTCGTGTTTCAACCGTGAAGCAGTTGTGTTTGCATGGCTGTGTTTCGGTTTGAAGGGTGGGATATGACGTGAATTTACTGGGTACAGAGGAATAACACCTGAGTCCTCAGGAACGGCAACGCATGGGGGGTATCATGGATGAAACAGTATACTCTGTTATGTCCATGGTACTGCTCATGTCTATAGGCGACGGTTACCACTTTTCATCAGGTGGGCCGTCAGCTTGTTTGCCATTCTATGTTGTATAAAAAAAATAAAAAAATCTAAATCAACGGGAAATACATATACATACACACAAATATACATTTTGGTTTCCTTGCAAACGTCAAAATATACGTTACTAAATCTTTTAATTGAGTTGTAGTTTGGTTTATACCGCTTTTACAAGGGATTGCGGACTTAAATATTTGATGTTAATTTCAGCTTGATACCTCTATGTATTTCTGAGAAAAAGGGTCTTGACAGACAGTTAAATAGGTAGACGGGTAACAAAGTAATCTTATAACGGTTCTATTTTTACTTTTGACTTACGGAACCCTAAAATTTTCTTATTTTATTCAAGATTTAATCCACTAAACATATGTATTTAGAGTCCCATTATTATTTTCATCTTATTATTTTGGATGGATGGAATATGGTAACCGTCGCCTAATACTACTTGCCCAAGCAAACGACTTTTGTACAAAATCTCCCTCTGGTTTAATTATTAACTGACTTTACCTATTTAATTAATAATAGTTTTTTAATTCATATTCTGCGCATTATACATGTTTTTTAGTAGTTTTTCCGTAAAAAAGTAACAAAAATCCATCCATACATTGGAAAAAGAAATGACATAAAATACCTTATTCCTGTCCATATCTATAAACGGCGGTAATTTTAATTAATTCTTTCCATCAGTACTAATCATGTTTGTCATTCTATATTACATAAAAAAAAAGTTTGGATTTAGTAACAAACATACAAATAAACTTTCACATAATATAAGGTTGGGTATATTTGACAGTTTGTCGGAGCGCAGCGAACTGGGTCAAGATCGTGACATCACTCCGTGGAGATAAAACACTCTCCATTTCTCGTGGCGTAATAAGGGGCCAATAAAAGCGAACACGTGCCTCCATCTCGAGTAATGCCTGATGAATCACTAGGCTTTATTATTATGTGTTAATAAGCATGAATACTAGCTGTGCCTTGACGATTTGTCCGCGTTTATTAATGTACAAAGTACCCCGTATGGTGATTTTGTATATGATTAATTTGTGCACAAAATGTCGTTCAATTCTGACCAGTCGTTTATATTTTAAATAGTCATTCGTTCCGACTTTACACAGGTAGATGGAAAGATAAATTAGTATATTATTTTAGTTTTTAATAACTAATTTTTTTTGACAACTTATTATTTTTTACAGGCAGAAAAAACACAGGTTTTTTTGCTACCTGCACTACGACCTTTCCATGATCTTTTGTCGCCAAATATATAGTTGCTTTCGTAGGGTTATATATATGTGTGTGCGTGTGTGCGTGCGTGCGTGTGCGTGCGTGCGTGCGTGTGTGTGTGTGTGTGTGTGTATGTGTGTGTGTGTGTGTGTGTGTTTGTGTAAAATAAATTAATACCCAGATTAATTGCGATATATGTAAACAAAACATTTTTATACGCCTTTCATAAAATGTTTATACTCTAATATTTATTTAATTACTAACGGCTCCGGCAGACGTTGTTCTGCCATATAAATTAGGGAGAGACCCTAATCACCGAGCGATATTAAATATACTATACAACCTACTCTCATACCTACTAAATATACATAAAAAATTTCATAAAAATCGATCGAGCCTTATGGTCGCACTCTTATGAGTGCGACCACAAACACCGTGTTACGAGATTTTTATATATGTAAATAATTTGTTGGATATGCCGTATGGTCCCGGCATAGAATAGGCCACCCCTTCCTTTCCCGTGGGTGTCGTAGGAGCCGACTAAGAAAGGACGAGGGATGGGCAGCAACGTCCCTCTTAAAACATTTCTGAAGCCTAACTTCGGTTGCCAATCCGCCTGTCAAGCGTGACAAATACTGGCAAAACCACACATGGGGGGCGTTTATGATCAGCAGTGGGTAGTTAAATGCTAATGTGATGATGAAATAATGAAATAAACTTAAGAAAATAATTTCTGATGATGCAAAAAAAAGAAGAACTAATTAAGAGCGTTCTGTATATTCCCTCAAAAGTTTAACTTTATTCCGTACAATGGATGGTACGCCCGTGATTTTATGTTACTTTCATTGTTTTTTCAGTTACGATCTTTTTTCATGGACAAACTTCGTCTCCCAATATGGTTATTAGTTCAAGATATAAAAGTTTTCAGGCTCGAAAATTTGAACTAACCAAATGTAATATTTCAAGACCAATATTGTTTTAGGTCATGTTTTGTGTAAATTAATAATTCACCTTTGAAATAAGAGGATCAACAATTTAATTCAAAATTCAAAAAATTCAAAATTCAAAAATCATTTATTCATGTAGGACATTTTAGCCGCTTATGAACGTCAAATTTTTACATTATAATTTTATATTTTCCCTACCGTCCAGTTCGGTATATAGATCCAATTGAGAAGAACTGGCAAGAAACTCAATTGAATTACTTTTTTTTTAAAGCCAGTTTATTTACAATGTATATTTATATAGGTGTCTATGTCTAACATTAAATGAAAATTCAGTGCATGAACAACTATTGCCATGCACACTCGTCATTCAAGTAATCGTTTAGTGAGTAATAGGCTTTGCTCAGTAAATATGATTTAACAGATGTTTTGAATTTATTTAAGGGTAATTCCAACATATCCTTTGGTATCTTATTGTAAATTTTTATACCTATTCCCATAAAAGACCTATTAACTTTTTCTAAACGATACTTGGGGACAGCAAGTTTGTCTTTAAATCTAGTATTAATATTATGAATATTGCTGTTTTTTGGAAATAAGTCAAGATTTTTATGAACATATAGAATATTTGAATATATAAATTGAGAAGCAACGGTGAGAATATTTGCCTCTTTGAATTTCTCTCTTAATGAGTCACGACTCTTCATACAGTAGATCGCTCGAACGGCACGTTTTTGTAATATGAATATATTCTTAATATCTGCCGCTTTTCCCCATAGTAATATTCCATAAGAGAGTAAACTATGAAAATAACTAAAATAGACTAATCTAGCAGTATCAGTATCAGTGTACTGTCTAACTTTACGCACGGCAAAAGCTGCTGAACTTAGTTTCGCTGCAAGGCTTTGAATTTGTGCACCCCATTGTGTTTTATCTAGTGTGATTCCTAGAAAGACAGTAGATTCTATAAATTCGAGAGATTCGTCATTTAATTTAATATTGCAATTAGTATTAAAACTTTTAGATAGAGAGAAATTAACACATTTTGTTTTTTTAGCGTTTAACATAAGATTGTTAGTTGTAAACCAGTGCAGGAGACGCCGTAAAGCACTATTTACATCGTCATAATTATTAGTCATTCTATTAACTTTAAAAATCAATGAAGTATCGTCTGCAAACAATACTATGCCGCATCTATCCTGCATGGCATATGGGAGATCATTAATGTAAACTAGGAATAAAAATGGACCGAGAATAGATCCTTGAGGTACACCCATTTGCACAAGTGACCCGTCAGACGTAGCGTTGCTAATCTTCACTTTCTGTATTCTATCAGATAGATAAGATTTTATTAAATTTAAAGCATTGTCTTTGACGCCATAAAAAGCAAGTTTTTTTAGCAATGTATTATGATCAACGCAATCAAAAGCCTTAGAAAGGTCACAAAAAACACCTATCACATCCATTTTAGTTTCCCATGCAGCAAATACGTGTCTAAGCAACTCTGCACCTGCGTCTGTAGTTGAACGACCTTTGGAAAAACCGAATTGACTATTGTGGATTAAATTATTT